GATTATATATATATATATATATATATATATATATATATATATATATGTAGACTTCAATCAGCAAATTTTTATTTTGTAATACAGATTCTTTGCTTCTGAAGTGCTTCTGGCATTGGAGTACTTGCACATGCTCGGAATTGTGTACCGTGACTTGAAGCCAGAGAATGTTCTTGTCAGAGACGACGGACACATCATGCTCTCCGATTTTGATTTATCCCTCAGATGTTCCGTCAGTCCAACCCTCGTCAAATCATCCTCTGTTCACGGCCCCGGCGGTGGAAGCGGAAGCGGTCGACCCGTAGGTCTCATCGACGAGGACGCCGCGGTGCAAGGTTGTATCCAACCGTCCACATTCTTCCCGCGGATTCTACAGTCATCCAAGAAGAACCGAAAGGCCAAATCAGATTTCGGGCTCTTCGTTAACGGATCACTCCCGGAACTCATGGCAGAGCCAACGAACGTTAAATCTATGTCATTCGTTGGAACACACGAGTATTTAGCACCGGAGATTATCCGTGGAGAAGGACACGGAAGCGCAGTAGACTGGTGGACCTTCGGAATCTTTATCTACGAGCTTCTCTACGGAGCCACGCCGTTCAAAGGACAAGGGAACCGTGCCACGCTTCACAATGTGATCGGACAAGCTCTTAGATTCCCTGAGCTTCCTCACGTTAGTTCGGCCTCGAGGGATCTAATCAAAGGGTTATTAGTTAAAGAGCCACAAAAACGAATCGCTTACAAACGAGGCGCCACGGAGATCAAGCAGCATCCTTTTTTTGAAGGTGTGAACTGGGCGCTGATTCGTGGTGCAACGCCGCCGCATGTACCGGAACCGGTTGATTTTTCGTGTTACGCAAGCAAGGATAAAGAGTCTATGGCGGCTGTCGACGGCGGCGGAAAGAAGAATAATAACGGTGCTGGTGGTGGCTGCAGCACCGGCGGCGGTGATGATCCTGATTACATTGACTTTGAATATTTTTAGCAATTTGATATAATGACTTAAACTTCTTCAGACAATCAATATACAATGTCCTTTTTGTTGTCTTTATACACACATCTCTAGATAATTTTATTTCATTATGATTGGTCTTTTTATTCAACCTTTTTATTAGAGCTCCATATGAAGTGTACTAGGGATGGACCCGCACATACGTGCGGGGTTAATTTCAAAAGTTTGTATTACATACGTGCGTGCAGGGTTGATTTCAATATATTACATATGTGCAAGATAAAGTTTGTAAACGTATTTTTAAGTAATGTTATTTAATTCATAATCAGAAGAATTTGTATCAGTTTCATGTCGTTTTTAATTCGATTTAGATAAAAAAATTATCAGATTTGTTTTTGTTAAGTTAAGAACATTACATAAAAGAAAATTAGTAAAAAAAAAAGTCACAAAAAGTGACTATTTCATAACCGTAATGTCCCATCTATATCATGTTTTCCATCTTATAATCATGGTTTTAAAAATCATTTGAGATTATATATTTTAGTCTAACATATAAAAGAATAGGTAATAGTTTCGGAGCCACAAATACGTTTGCTTTGTTTTCTTCAAATTTTTGAATGTATGAAATAATAATCGCTTTAGATCGACATGATAGCGGACCCGGAGAAAGTGTAAACCGGATTAGTGATAATCTAAATTTCTATGTAAATCGTGAACTATCAAACCAGGTAAAAACAACATAAAACACTAAAACTTCTTGAAACAAATGACCTAAATATAGTTGTCAAGCGAGTCAAACTCGTCCAATATGTCTAGCCTGCAACGAACTACAATATTTTAACCCGCAAAAACCCGTTCTTCGAAATTCGCATGAGTAAATAGTATATATGTATCTCACTTAGTTGAATTTGTGTTATCCAAAATTTCTGCCTCGTATTTTACCAGCATTACATTAGATACTATTTTTTTTTTTTTTCCGAATTACCCGCGCTCTTCATGTACCCATTATTTCATGTTTCAATATTTAAAATAAATAGGAAATTTTAGCTATTTAAATTTCATGTTTCTGTATTGTACTTGTAAATTGATATTTGAAAGTCAAAATTGAATTTAACTATCCAAATTAGTGAATTTGTCTCGTTACTTTTTTTCCTAGTCCTTTTTTTTATTAGAAAAATTTAGATATTTTTATTTTTACAAATTAAATATCACTACCAACTTTTTTATTCAATTATTTTATCTAAAATTTATGTACCATAGTTTATCAAGAATAGTTCGGAACTACACCCATATGGTGGATAATGTTGTAGATATTTATTTGGTATAACTTACAAAATCAAAATTTATACTGGTTTGGTTTAGGTTCACTTTATGACTGTTTAATATATTTATGATTTCACTCATATTTTGAAACTTAGCTTAGACTGATCAGTTAGATTTCTATCAAACTCGTGAATTGGATAACCAAAACAGACATGTTGATACTGGTTCAATAATTAAATCTCCTAAGTTTTAAAACATAACTTAGAAATAGTTATATTTCTTAACATATAATAAAAAATATATTTATAAAAATTATATAAAAAAATTTATATGCTTAACCCGTCCAATTAACCCGTGGATTATAATATTTTTTAATGGTTTAGATCTTAATCGTAATTCACTTATATGCAAAAAGAAATATGTCAAAGTATATAATGCTATGTTCAACTCTCGGTATTCCTCTATCTGTATAATACATTGAATGTACAGAGGTGGCTTTATAACTATCATACTATAGATATAATATATGT